TAGTAGTTATTTGGTGTTCTAAATTTCTATGGCAGGCAACTAAAATAGAAATGTTTTTATGAAGTGGTGTATCCAGGACTGAGCAAAAATTCTGAAGTGATGAAGGAACAAGCTATATCTGTTTCTGTCTTCTGGCTCTCATTTTGTGGCAGTTGCTTCCCACTGAGCTGCCTGGAGAAATGCCCAGGCAGCATTCTTGTCTGGCTGTACCTTAGGTCTGAAAGTGAGTTTCAAGCATGAAATCTATTTCTAACAGGCAACAACTAGAAAATGAAAAGAAGAAAAGGGAGACAATTGAGAGGGAGAAAGAGCAAATGTTGAGGGAGAAGGAGGAGCTCCTGGTGAGGCTACAGGAATATGAGGTGAAGACTCAGAAAGCAGAGAAAGGTAAAGTACTTGTACCAGACCATATGTATTGTGCTCCATAGGAGGGTTATATGGGACACTACCTACACCTAGCCTAAACCTTGGTGACACTGGGATCTCTTGGCAAGCCTTACTGATACCTGTCTATGTGGATAAATACATACATTTGCATACTGATACCAGCCAAAGTATGAAAGTAGCATAAGATCTGCCAATTGTATTTGGAAACTGAAGGGCACTAACTCTATTTCCCCTTGTTGCCAAGAGAGTTTAAGTAGTTTGGCCTCTTCCAGCAGGCAGTAAGCGTTCAGCTCTCAAGTACTTTTTACTTAACTCCTAACAGAAAAAGTACTTTTGGAAAGTGAAAAGGAAGCTTCTGTTTCAATTCAGTTTGAGACAGCAACATCTGGTCCGTGCAGTTAAGGGCACCAGAATCATGTCAGTGCTGCAGGCTTCAGTGCAAATATCTTGCAGAAAATTGAATCATGTGCAGCTGACTACTTCCGAGTTCAGTTACTTGATGTGTTACACAAATAATTACTTTGAGGTGCACAGTGAAGGGGTACTGCATGCAGGAGTGAAGTGCTTGTCATGTCTTCTGCAGTTACCTAGGAGACTGCCTGTAGTCTCTTTGCTTTGACCAGGCTTATGCAGTAACCACATTGATTCATCTTGTTCCAGAGCTCTCAGATCAGATCCAAAGAGCCATTCAGCTGGAGGAGGAAAGGAGGCGAGCGCAGGCAGAAGCAGAACGTTTAGAAGCTGATCGCTTGGCTGCTCTGCAGGCCAAAGAAGAGCTGGAGAGACAGAATATGGACCAGATAAAGAGCCAGGAACAGCTGGTAAGACCCAGTCATTTTGAGGATAAGAGATACAGGCATGTTAATATGCCCTTTAAGTAAGGTAAAGCCTTTTTCTCCAGAGAAAAACATGGTGAAGTAGTAGACCCTGTGATAACATCATTGTGGCATTGGTTTCTATCATGAGCAGTCTGCTTTTTAAGTCTTAAATTCTTATTCAGTCTTTATTACAGTGGAGTGTAACACCTGGATCTTTTCTCAGTCAGTAGTGTTTGTTTGCTCTGTGTTTTGTTTTTTTTTGAAGAGTCCTTGTAATTCCAGTTTCATTATTCAACAGGCTACAGAGCTTGCAGAGTATACAGCTAGGATTGCACTTCTTGAGGAGGCAAGGAGGCGTAAAGAGAGCGAGGTTGAAGAATGGCAAATCAGAGTGAGTATCAGCTTTACGAAGTTGCTCTGGAGCTCTGCACTTGAGCAGAGCATACCACAGTGCTTAGCCTGATATGAGTTCTCTAAATGTGTAGACAAACATCTGTAGGCCAACAGCAAAGGGCAGACTTGGGAGGAATGTGCAATATGTCTGTAAAACACCTTTCTTTCAACAAGCCCTCAGTCAAAATTCAAAATTGAAGCCTGTATGAAACCTAAAAGTGTAATTATAGTCTTGGAGACATGGGGGGGGGGGGGAAGTGGTACATTGTATTAATGAGGTATTTAACCCATGATGCAAACATCACATCAATCAAGAGAAGATGCCACACTGCAGGTACCAGTCCCAAGAACTGTGTGCTGTTGTCAGTGGCTTCCTGGACCTGGGTTGGGAGAGTTAATAATTGGATGCACCAACCCCAACCCATGCCAGGCTCAAGCATGCCTGGTTCTCCTAGTGCCCTTTGGCAGGTGCTGCAGACTGCACAGGAGTGCAGAACCTCTGATGCAGCATGGAATCTGACTGCCCAGTATGCAATTGCATTAAAATGCCAACCAGGGAACCAGAGTTCTTGCTATCTGGAACCCATATCTAGAGCCTACAACTCTTCAGATGGAGTGCAGGATGAAGATAACTGTAGATGCCTGCAGAATTGTTCTTCCTAGAGTGTGTTGTGTTGGAAGATTCTTTGTTCAGATCCCCTGCACATTACGCAATTACACAGTGGATGATAGTACCACTAGCAAAAATGTTTTGCTTAAGACCACAACGGTGTGTCAACTGCAGAGATTTAACTCCCTCTTCTTGCTTTTCATAGTAGCTTGAAAAAAAGCAGGGAGACAAGTGTTAAAGTGTTCATTAAGCTGGTGTAAAGCAAGAAATGCATTTAAAACTATTTTTCACTCTCTGCCCAAAGGCCAAGGAAGCTCAGGAGGATCTGGTAAAGACAAAGGAGGAGCTACAGCTGGTGATGACTGCTCCACCTCCACCCCCACCGCCTGTCTATGAGCCTGTTAACTACCATGTCCATGATAACTTGCAAGATGAGGGATCTGAGTACTCTGCCTACAGTGCAGAGTTCTCCAGTGAGGGGATCCGGAATGACCGCAACGAGGAGAAGCGCATTACTGAAGCAGAGAAGAATGAGCGTGTGCAGAGGCAGCTGAGGGTAAGACAGTGGAGTAACTGAAACAGTTGTTCCTGGAAAATAGACCACTTAACTGCTTGGTTAAGCACACAAAGCACAATAGTTTCTCTTCATTTACAGTTCCTGTAGGCAGTTGGAATTAAATACAAGATCTACAACAGTTACTGTCGTTGCTCAGGCTTTGAGATTACTTATGCACATTATCCATAGCGTTTATGGAAAGCATGTGTTGTATCTCCATCATTGTTAGATCACTCTGTCCAGTCATCTAACGACTGTCAATTCTCACCAAAGAGCACTGCTGTCACCAGCTGAAAGCTTCACATGTATAATCTGTATCTGCTGTCCTTGATATTGCAGGCGCTGACAGATGAGCTGGCCCAGGCTAGAGATGAAAACAAGAGGACCCACAATGATATTATCCACTCAGAGAACATGCGACAGGGACGTGACAAGTACAAGACGCTGCGGCAGATCCGGCAAGGCAACACCAAGCAGAGAATTGATGAGTTTGAGGCAATGTAATGATGTTTGTAACAAGAAGGAAGGACTGTGGGGAGGGCAGATCTTAATGCTGTATTCTTGTTTTGGGGGTGTTTTTGTTTTTTTTCCCCTGAGGAGGGGTCACTGTATGAGACGTAACAAGTGTTCTTTAAAAACCCCAAGGTGTTTGAATCTCCCTTTTATTTTGTACCTCCTATTAAATTTGGTATAGTTAAAAACTCATGATACCACTGATCCTGGTAACTTGCTCACACCTTTGCTTAGTGCCAAAAGGCCTTAGGTCACATCTCTGTTTAAGCAAGCAGGTGCTGGATTCAGGTTGGTCTAAAACTAAGTGACTGTGGGCATATTTTGTGCCATATGTTTCTGTATTATTAGTTACAGTGGTAAAGTCCAACAGTTGCAAAGACAGGTTGTAGAACTCAGAATTTGCAAGCCCTGTATGTATGTGTGCATGTGTGTTTATATACCCTGTTTTTTATCCTTGGTCTTGATGCCCATAACCTGTTCCCCACCCCATGCACACAGAAGAACTGACACCACCTCAGAACTGCTCTGTGTAGAAATTAGGCTGCTTCTGGTTGCTGCTCTCAACTGGAGAAACTCTGCAGTGATGGCACAGGGACACCGATACCCTCCTCATGTAACACCTAGGCAAATATGCTGTTGGAATCTAATACACTCCTGTGTTTGCATTCCAGCTTCATTACTGATCAGTCATAGTGTAGTATTTATATATATATTAAAACCATGCAATATGTGGATTGCAGTAGCTTAAAGGGAAATAGTTTTGCTCTGTATATTTTGTTACTTTTCAGATTAAATAAGACTTGCATCTGTAAAAATGCCTAAACAATGCTTAGTCTGATACAGTGCATTAACTGATTATTTGCTACAAAGCATTATTTGTAAAGATCACTTTTTTACTTAATGAAAACTTACTATGTACTCATAATCCAATAGATACAATTTTACTGCACCTATTTTTCTAACAAATTTTCTAATTTTTTTTAAATGTTTGATTTAAAGTTTCAGACTCCAAAGATGAAGGGACTGCTTGTTTATATCACAGTTGTATTCTCTCTAGTAGAGAGCATTTCTGTGACCATTCCTTCCCCTCCTAAGTTCCCCCTTTCCTTGAAAATCTGTTAGAAAGTGAGATACAGTATGTTGTCAGTTCTTCTCTTCCATTTACACCATCTCTGCTGCTTTATACTTGAGTTAAATTGTGTGTGGTTTTTTATTTGCAGCAGCAAACATCTAAATAAAAGATCTGCAAAGTAACAAAGGACTTGGAGTCAAGTGGTTCTTGTGTAGGGCATATTTTGTATCAGGTGTGCATTTTCATCTAGTTCCTGAGCTTAGCATATAAGTCCCTGTGTCTTTAAGTCTCCTTAAAAGCCACATTACCTAGGAAGGAAGAAAGGAGAGTACTATCTGTAATGGCTTGAGGTATTAACAGCAGCACTTGTTACAGTTGACTGTAACACTACAGTTCACAGGCAAAGTGAACTCATACAGCAGCTGGGCCTTAAGCTTACATGAATAAATTATAACCCTAGCTAAACTCCTGTTCTGTGTGCCATATGGATCTTGTTAATACTGTCTTACAGCTGATAAGAGCAAGGAACTTAGTGCAACCACACTGTTCTATTAAGTGTTGTCCCTCACTCCTGCTGAGGAGTGCAGGACAATTCCTTCAACATATAAAACATCAAGATGAGAGTGAAGGCAGGTAACTTTGAAGTAACAGTTATTTAAGATGTATTCCTATCTGTGATTAAAGAATGACAGTTCTATGCCCAGAACTAGAAAGCTGCATCTCATCTGGCTACTGTTGCCTTGTCACCACACTGCATTTCTGAGTTTGTCGCTCTCAAAGAAACCTTATACTTCAGATAGATGCACAGATAACAAAGCCTTAACCTTTGGAGCAATAAAACCTCACACACTTTCAAATGTATAACTCTGTTTCACAAATGCAGGACTAGGTACGCTTGCAGTGTACCTTTCACCAGACCTGAAAGGCACATGCCAGTTGAATTGAAAGCTTCACACATGGGGAAAGCTGTTGTGCAGTTCTCTTATGATTTAAAGTTTTCCTTGTTTGAATGCAGTACAAGTGTGAAGTCCATCCATGTGTTTGGTCTGCAGAGTACTTCCTGCCATTGAAGCACTGACTGAGAAAGGGCTGTAGAGCCAAACCATTCCACTGCAACAAAGCAAAAGGGAAGGGTACAGTTACTTTTCACTTGGTCTTACCCAACTGACTGGACAACAATGAACCTGTTTCTTTAGCTGTTCTGTAGCTAATGCCTTAGGGCATTAATTGCAATAAATTGTAGTTATATTTTGAAACAGTATTTAAATCCTGTTAAACTAGAATCACTTACTAAAGAATTCAGCCTGCAGCAAAGAAAAATTTTCTGGTTATATGACTAAAAGCAAAGGAGCAAGCATGTGTATTACTAACAGCAGCATGGCACTAGGTTGCATGCTGCGGTTCATCTCCAGTCACTTTAATGCATTACTAGGCTTAGAGCTTGAATAGTCGTCTTCACTCAGGAGCACGTAGCTCCTGCTCTGGCAGAAAGGAAGATGCTGGGTAGGACAATCAAGTTCATAAGGCAGCTTGCACAGCACTGAGCTATTAGTGATAATACTCCCCTAAAGTCTGTGTTGATACCATAACACAGTGTCTGAGCAATCTTTTTGAGCCTTTCCTCTCAGAACTCTCTGGGAAGACAGACTCCATGGGGCAGTCTTCAAGCGGCAGCCTTCAATTAAAAGTGAAATGGGGCCTATTCAGTGAGCGGAGGGCCTCTCAAAAATTTCTCAGCCTTGAGAGCAAGCTTCCTCACTTGCACATACACTAGAACAGAGCCCAAAACTCAGATGTGCAATAGCCCCTTTTGAGCAAGCTTCGCTGTCTGTATCTCCCAGTGACTGGATTGTTTCGTGGATGTAAACTAATAAGCACAAACATAAGGAAGGTTGGAGTCTAGTAGGTCATTAGTTCTTGTGCTTCCTTTTTATTAAATAGTATTTAAAATCAACCAATGCATAGGAAACAGCTCAAAGAACCGGTCTTAAAAAAATCATTAACAGAGCTCTACATGAGTTAACTCCACCCAGCTTTGCAATGCCTGCCTTAGCATGGCCAGGCTTCAGTCCTGTAACTTAACCATGTTAACAAATGGCTTTCCTGAAAATTCCCACTGACAACCTTGAACTTTTGCAAAGACCTGAACTAAAGCACATGTAGTGTTTCTTACAGGATCAAAGCCCAAGGCACACAGCAGTGGGTGATAAATAGCACAGTGTAAGTATTATTTAGAATGTAAAGTAAATGAACTTTTCCCCAATTGCCTTCAATTTTTCATGATAAAGAACCTACTTGCACCAAGTGTAGCTCCTCCTAGGAACTGATCGCTTGAGCTGGAAGTTGACTTGTCCCAGACAGTCAAGTGTAGACATGACTGCTGCAGCTGAGCTGGGGTCACACCATCAAAGACAAAGAAGTGATTCCACTGGGGACAGGCTTCTTTCCTCCGGACAGGAGACTTCTGCTTTACCTCTGGTTGGTCTGGAAGGATAAGACAACTTCCCCAAAACAATGAGAGTTCAGCAAGGTTACTGATTTCTCAACCAGAAAACAGAACATTTGCAATAATCAACCAGGGCCCTTTGGTTTGCTTTAAATAGCACAAAAGTTCAGCTTAAGTGCAAGGTAGAACATGGTCCCAATGTGTTTATTCTGGGACTTGTTCCTTTTCCTGTCTGCCTTCACTGTGGGTGCAAGTAGGCTCTTCTAGTCTGTTTGCCTTTTGCTGTCACTGACTGCTGAAGAAATCTTTACTGTCTGTTCTGTTACCCAAATCTGCCCCAAACCTGCTTTTCTGTAGATAAATTTCCGGCCCATTTCACTGAAGTTCAGTGCCGCAAACAATGAAATGGCTTTACATGATGGTGGAAATGTACCCCAGTATCATATTTCCAGTGGCATCTGGTGCTGGACAGTAAGAAAGTAAAATGATCCCACATACAAGTTACTCAGTACACTGAAGAAAAATTCAGTCCCTCTTCTTTTAAAAAGTCTAAAATGAAGAGGATAAAGGTTTCCTTTTACCCAAAGATATATTTAATTCTGCCATGGCACACATGAAAAACAAGAATTAAAATATCCTCTGATTGGCGCTACCCCAACCTCACCCCCAATATCTAAAACCAGGTACTTAAACTAGCGACCTCTGAATTTTAATGACATGAGTCACTGCTGAAGTTCCATTCAGGATCCAAAGAGCCAGTGGGACCTGTCACTGCACTGCTGAATGCTGCTGTTGTGTAGGCACCCAAATGCCACCATTAAAGGAATGTCTAAGAATGTGGACAGTGCCACTTTCAAGGGCCACTCTCCTACTGAAAACATGTTAACACGTACATTCACACAGAACATGTATGACATTTTCTGTTTGAAGTGTTAGGTCTCATACATACCCTATAACAAATGGGTTTGGCATTCCAGAAGTTCTCAGCACAGGCAAGTTCTTGGCCCCAGTTATCACAACCTGAAGCTGGCAGCTGGGAACACCTTCGTCTTTTCTTCCTGCAACAAGAGCATTTATCACATGAAATAACCAGTTAGAAACATCTTAAGCTTTCAGCTGAACTATCAGTAAGTAGAAAAATGCCTAAGTGGTACTACTGAGATAAGGACTCACAGTGCTAATACAGGATCATTTGGATCATTTGAAAGACTTTAACCTGTTTGTACAGGGTATGAGTCACACACTCCCCAAAAAGGCAAGCAATGAGTAGCAGGTTGCTTTGTGATTCCTGTTCCAAAGACCGAGCTTTCTGATGTATTTGTATAAAGTAAATACAGGGCAGTACCTACAGGAGTGTTTCTCTGAAACAAAGCCAGAAGCAGGAGAAACAGCCAAATACAGTGAGATTCCGCTCCTCTGTTACAGCTCTAGTTATAGAGGCCCAATACATAGGCATGCACAGGGAAGAAAAATGAAAGAAAGTTGTAACTTTTAGGTCATTTGGAAAAGAAAAGGAAACAAAATTAGCCTAACAGCTACTTAGATCTTCTTAGTGGCCTCTACCTTATGCTGTGGTCCTCTCACTTGAGAGAGTTAGTAGAGCTCTGAACCTCTGTATATCTCACTATGATCTAGGGAGGCAATTTTCCTATGAGGTTGTCCTACCCCTTCTTCTCCCAAGGTATTTCTTTTACTCCACCAGCAATACTTTATGTATCATCTTATAAGTCTTTCATTTCCAAAAACTGAATCCTGACTCTACATTTTGAACCTAACACCTTCTAAGTGAAACAATCTCTCTTAAATGAAACCACTGGAGGAAGCTAAGGGTGGTGGTTGGTATCCTTGCAGCCATTTCTTTTCCACCTTTTCCCCAAATTGGCAGACTCCACCTTGGGCATTAAAACTGCACCACCTCCAGAACAAGGTCTACCAGCAACACTATGACTGGCACAAGCTTCCCAAACAGCCGGTTGCATCATACTGCTACCACAATAATGTGCAGCTTTTGTTGGCATTAAAAAGAACAAAAAAGATGAAGTTGGCAAATGTTTGGATCTTAATTAATTTGAAATATAATACACCACAAACCACTATTTGCAGCAGCTGTTATAAACCCCATACAGGCATGTTACATGGACACATTGCTAGTCCCTCATTGATACCAATTCTTTTCTAGCCAAGGGATTCAGCATACATAGTGAAATATGCTGAAACATTTTATACCTTCAAACTGGAAATTCTTATACTGAGCTGGTGCTGACAGTCTTGCAGACACAAGGAGTTCACCACTGTACTCGGTAAGATCATGTCCAGGCTTTTCAAGCTGAAGAAAGGAACACACAGAAATTTGCATTACTGCGAACATTCCACATCCTTCTCACAGTTTATTTATGTTTGCAACATGTCCTTCTTAATGGGCTGGATTGACAGCATGTTTCCCTCCAATGATCTTAGAAGTGTGACATTTTTCATAGCTTTTACTACATCTTGCTTTTAAGATATAACTAAGCACAAAAAAATAAGAATCACCTTCGGCTTGAGCTGGTACCAGCTGAACAACTGCATTGAGTCCTCTTGAAAATCCCATGCTGCCAGTGGAATCACCACTTCCCCCAAAAACACCTTGTATTTGAGTGCTCCTGCATGCCACACAGAGATCTGAAGCTGCCGACTTCCCAGCTGGGAGTATTCAATCTTGTACTGGAAATATAAATATTATTTAGAGGGTGAATGCACGCCCATGCCCATAACCAGGCCAGCCACAGCATACCTGGATACAGACAGAACCATGCCATCTGAATGCGCTTTGCAATCTGCATATTGCTCCACCATTTAAATGCTAAATAACACTCATCCAAATATGAAATAACATTCCAGGAATACCTTGACCCGCCTTGCTAAAGATTCTGGTTATTAATTCAGAACTTGAAATAATTCTTGCCCATTTTTGCTGGTGGGGTTTTTGAGGTATTTTTTTTCCCTTCTCTCCCTCTCTCTGTTATACACTCCAATTTGGCTACTCTGGAGGCCAGTTCAAAACTAAGACGCCTAACAAGGGTGCTCAACTTCCATTCTGGTGAGTGGACATCTACTCAATGCAGTCAGTAAGAAGAAAGAAGTAATTCAGCCGATCACTAATTACAGCCCTGATCTGTTCCCAAAACATAGTTGGAGCCTGTTGAGACATTGTTGGGTATCTAACATACCCACATAAGACTGGCAAATGTGATACCCAGCCTGGAAGGAATCTACATCCACCTGGGCTGGAAGCTGGAGGCAAGGACATCACTACCCACACTTAGGCTGCTGAATCACAGGCTGGGTGTAAGCTGTGGAACTAATCACCCTGGGCTCCAGCAATTCTCAAGAGCACTTACACACCTCTCACACATGAAGCTACCCAGATGTAGGCACCTTCATTTGCAGCTGTATCTCACCAAGTTGGATCTTGGTGTCATGATGTAGTTTACCTGCACTAGCACTGTGGTCTTATGACCATTTCTACTACTCTGGATAAATTAATAATGAAACTAATTAAAAAGATTTCTAACAAAAGTAACTTTAGTGTTCATAGAGCCAGTTCAGGCATGGCTCTCACTTTCCCCTTTTTAGTTCTTCATGATTTGGCATAGAAAAGGGACTATAAAATTAGGATCAGTTATTCCAACTTCACAATCTTTTTTCTCCCAGCTTAAACCCTATATACAGACTTCAGGCTATATAAGAGTTATGTACATTACTTAAATTTTTTGTGGTTGCTACAGAATTTTACAATGGTCTTTTCAAACACATTGCCTGTTTCACTCACTAAAAATTCTTGCTCATACACACCAAAAGATGGGGGTAACACTGAAGCTTTTGTGTAGTTCAAGGACCAACAATACAAGTTTTTCCCTCCATTAACTTTGTTTCTTATCTTTTCCAAGACAACACATTACTGAAGAAGTCATCATCTTATGTACTACTGCAGTTCATTAACACACACAAAAAATTGATTTGTAGTGATCTAAGTACACAACTGGAGCTGGGAACAACAAAACTAATCCAACTGTCCATCGTATTTGAAAAATCATAGCAGTCAGGTGAAGTTCCCGACAGCTGGAAAAAGGGAAACATAACCCTCATTTTCAAGAAGGGGAAAATGGATGACCCAGAAAACTACAGATCAGTCAGTCTCACCTCTGTGCCTGGCAAAAGCTTGGAGCAGATTCTCCTGGATGGCATGCTAAGGCACATGAAAATCAACAAGGTGCTTGGTGACAGCCAGCATGGCTTCACTAAGGGGAAATCCTGCCTGACCAATTTGGTGGCCTTCTATGAGGGGGCTACAGAACTGATGGACAGGGGTAGAGCAGTTGATGTCATCTACCTGGACTTGTGTAAAGCATTCGACACTGTCCCACACAACATCCTTGTCTCTAAATTGGAGAGACATCAATTTGATGGATGGACCACTCGGTGGATAAAGAACTGGCTGGATGGCTGCACACAAAGAGTTGTGGTCGATGGCTCAATGTCGAGCTGGAGACCAGTAACAAGTGGTGTCCCTCAGGGATCGGTGTTGGGACCGGTCTTGTTCAACATCGTTGTCGGTGACATGGACAGTGGGATTGAGTGCGCCCTCAGCAAGTTTGCCGATGACACCAAGCTGTGTGGTTCAGTTGATACCCTGGAAGGAAGGAATGCCATCCAGAGGGACCTTGACACGCTTGGGAGGTGGGCTGATGCCAACCTCATGAAGTTTAAACAAGCCAAGTGCAAGGCCCTACACCTGGGTCAGAGCAATTCCAAGCACAGCTACAGGTTGGGCAGAGAAGAGATTCAGAGCAGCCCTGCGGAGAACGACTTGTGGGGGTTGGTCGATGAGAAAATGAACATGAGCTGGTGGCTGCAGTGTGTGCTTGCAGCCCAGAAAGCCAACCGTATCCTGGACTGCATCGAGAGGAGTGTGACCAGAAGGTCGAAGGAGGTGATCCTGCCTCTCTACTCTGCTCTCATGAGACCTCACTTGGAGTATTGTGTGCAGTTCTGGTGTCCTCAACATAAAAAGGACATGGAACTGTTGGAACAAGTCCAGAGGAGGACCACAAGGATGATCAAGGGACGGGAGCACCACCTGTATGAAGATAGGCTGAGAAAGTTGGGGCTGTTCAGCCTGGAGAAGAGAAAGCTGTGTGGAGACCTCATAGCAGCCTTCCAGTATCTGAAGGGTGCTATAGGGATGCTGGAGAGAGATTCTTCACTAGGGACTGTAGTAATAGGACAAGGGGTAATGGGTTAAAACTTAAATAGGGGATGTTTAGATTGGATATAAGGAAGAAGTTCTTTACTGTAAGGGTGGTGAGGCACTGGAATGGGTTGCCCAGGGAAATTGTCAATGCTCCATCCCTGGCAGTGTTCAAGGCCAGGGATGAACACTGAGCCTTGGGTGACATGGTTTAGTGTGAGGTGTTCCTGCCCTTTGCAGGGGGGTTGGAACTTGATGATCTTAAGGTCCTTTCCAACCCTAACTATTCTATGATACTATGAACTTCTTCCAGGTGGTAGTACTCAGCTTCAGCTTTACATTTCATTAAGTGTATATGAAGCAAAAATAATGGCTTCTATTTTCTACACACAGCTCTTACAAGGATGCAAGAAGTAATATTGCAAGGCATTAAAGCATTATAAGCACAACTACTGTTATCTGGCAGGATTCTTAATGCTTGCAATTAGAACTCTGAAGAGATGGCTTGGCATCAATTGCACAGGAAAAAGGAAGCAGACAGTGTTTTACAGCTGGTGGAATTCAGTTAGCATTCAGCTAACTGCAGAGACACACTCTCAGTGGCACTGACAAAGGGTATTGATTGAAAGAGATACTCGTGCAAAATACATGCTGCTCTGCAATGCACCCAGTTCCCAAATGTACAAAAAAAAGAAAGCATCTATGGAAGCCAATTTGCTTTCCCACAAGGTAACTCAGAACAACATGGAATTCATCAGTAATGCTTTCACGGACAAAGGCAGACTCTTTTAATGATTTGCAATTTACTATTGTAACTCCAAAAGCACTTTCTCTTATTTGGACTGAAAACCATAATTTTTTTCTATTAACTGTTGTCAGTGACTTTTAGATTTGCCCCATTAGGACAATTCTGAACTTGCAGGATTGTACATTACAAAAAGAAACATTACCCTGGAAAAGCACACTTAGCAGCACACAATTGCAAGCAGTACCTTCAAAGTCTCATCAAATTCCGGATCCACTGTTCTCTTTTTGACAGTTGTCTTCCGCTTACTCTGAGGAGATTTATCAGGAAGTAAATAAACTTTAACATACCTTGTAGAGAGAAGGATATATGGAAGGTAACCAGAGAAAATGGTTGGTTAGAAGCAATCAAAGAAGAAAAATTAGGTTTTCCTTAATTCTTGAACAAATTTCCTGACTATAATTTTCCAAGCAATAAAATGGAAATTGTGATCTATATCCTTTCTCAGTAAAAACAGAGACTATAAGGATTCCTGTATACCATTCAGCTAATATGTTTCAATTCTAATTGTGAAAGAATCAGTATCTGAATAGGAATCTTCTGCTTTCATACTCTTGGCCTCTCATAAAATAGCCACAAAGGTAGTCACCTTGTCAGCTGTAGTGATGGTTTTGTGACAAAAATAAAAATCGTATATTATGTGCTCAAGAAAAAAATATTAGCACAATTAACTTTTGGATCATTGTTGCTTGCTCGTGAAAAAAACATCTCATTTTTACAACATCAAGTACCATGTAGGAAAAAAAAAAAGGTATAATCATACAAATAATACATAATAATTTATAGCTTTTACAAATGCTACCTGTTAAAATAGCCACTATAGTGAAAGTGGGAGATTGTCTGAAGTGCTGAAAATTGACTTAACATTGATTCAAGGAAACCCAGTAAAAAATGTCTGGAAGTTGAATCAAGCTTCCAATGATTCCTATCCAAAGTTTCTAATGTGTAGGTCATGTGAATATTAAATATTCGCCTTAATGAGAGTTCAGTGGACTTGAGTTGTGTTATTGCTTCAAAACTAAAGAGTATTAGCAACAGAGAGTGCTTGCTCACAGCTTGGCAAGAAAGGAGTGATTGTTGACATAATACCAAGGTTTTTTTAACTATGCTTGTATACTTTTCAGATATTGTGATTAAAACCAATTTTTAAACAGCCTCTTGATTAACTTACTCAGAAGTAAGATCAACTGTACCTCATACTGTCAGTGCAGAGCTTACACACCTTCCCTATTCCTTCCAAACTTATCCATAGCAATAGCTTTTTAAAATACCCAGATACTAGAAGTTTTAGCCTCTTGCTCTACCAACCCAGACCAATGTTACTGAAAAGTAGCCAGTCCAGTCAACAAGCTAAATAATTCAGTAGGTTTTAAAAAATCAGCTAAAAGTCTGCTTTCTGGCAAGTGTCTTAAGTGAATACACTGACGGTATTTTTCTGGTTGGCTTGGAAACCAACAGAAGTATGTAAATACATACTAAGAGAGTGTAATGTTCATTACGTAGCACTTCCCACATTGCCTTTCAGGCTTCCTGCAACTGTTTGCCTGGCTTAGTTACCAGAGGACTCAAAGAACCTTGAGCCACTTCTGATGTGTTCCCAAATTGCCCTGTCACGAGCTGCTGTTCCAGAAAGACTCCTTTAATCACCAAGCTTGTCTTTATCAACACCTTCTGTAAGGTGCACAAAACCCATGTGCCTTCTGGGTGAAGGTGACTTCAAGTATGTATATGTAAAATGGGTAATATGTTGAATGCTCTGAAAGTGCAAATACAGCATACCATGCTATATCAGACACAACATACAGAAATATCTTAAATGCAGAATATTTTCCTTGTTTTTTTCTGCTTCTCTACGAAATACTTACGGGTTACACTTCTTCTTCTTCTCTTCTCCATAAGCCAGGTTCTTGCATCTCTTGATACAAATTTCTAAGATGCAAGCTTTGAAGATATATCTCATGGCAAACTCTATTTCTCCCATGACATTAGCTTTGCCAAAATTTCCAGACTCAGTGCAAGTGCTGTTAAGACTATACAAACTCCCCTAAGAAAAAACAAATGTTTGGGGAAAATAGCTTCAGATCAAATAGGACAAGACATGCATTTTCCTCAAAGGTCAGTATCTTTACAGACATGACTCTAGAGCTACTGCAAATCAGGAAGATTTAAGGTGATCTGTAGAAGATATCCTATTGCTTCCACAATAGCCCTGAAAATTATTACTGTAATTACAGTTTTACTGCTCTGCCTTTTCCCCTCTGTAAGCTCCCCAGGATAAGAAAATGCTTTCTTATATAATATCTAGATCTAGAAATTGTCTCCAAATAAAACTGCTATGTAGCTTACCAGGAGAAAAATGGGATAAGTGTCTGAAAGGAAGAGAGTGGAGGAAAAAAAAAAAAAAAGCCTCTCAAATACAAGAACATACAAAACATTGAACTAGACTGCTTTTAATACATAACTCATAGTATGGTACACTGCCAAGATGTTATGTTCTATCATGGAAACAAAAGTGTTCTTGCAAATCCAGTATATTTTTCTATAATATGCCCCAATTCCATATAAAAGTGACATACTCCATACTGCAGCAGACAGTTCAGGAAAGATTAAAATACAAGGATACCCAGTTGTTGTATGTTGGTGCATAAAGAAGTTATTCCCTAGCTCACCTCAGCCACTCTGTTCTCCTTTTACCTACTTTCACCTCTGAGGCAAAGGTTTGGACACTGTCCATCCATAAACAGCATTTGCATCTGTGGAAGGAAGAGACTAATCCTTTCTGTGGCCCAGCACAGACATGTAACTTCATGATGCTACCTAGACTTCAACATAACATATTATCAAATCTATCAAAATAGTTTGGTCTCCATTCATTTATAATGATATTCTTTAAAGTTAGCCCTAGGAACCTTTTGCATAGTATATGTCACAAGGACATAATTGTTGTTGTGATTAATCTCAGAGCAACACTGCCCTAGATTTCCAAGGTATGTGTTAGATCACTCCTCCCTCTGAAAATAAACACCAGCCTGCACAGGACTGGTTAACCAACAAGCTCTACATTGCATAACCCAGCAGCTAAAAGTGCAGAGTAGTGTTTAGATCATATCTCTCTCCCATGCAGAAGCTCTTCCTCCTTCGTGCAGCTTGCCAAATATTCTTTGTAAAATTTACGCCAACAGCCTAATCAGTTTAAAGCAGCTACCTATCTAGATAGCTTATCTATCTTATAAGATCTAAGTAACATACAGACTTGACAAAAGAAGGGTCAGAGCACTCAGTGCTTACTGAGGAAGTAATTAAGTGTTGGGACTGTTTTGACCTGATGCTTCTTGTATGTAATCTTGCTCCCTCCACGAGATGCATATCAGTGTAATCAATCTCCCTTACAGCTTTGTTCAGCTCTGTTCTTCTGCTCACTGATATTTTTATTCTTCTGAAGAGAAAATGCTTAGTTTCCACCAAAATCCTTCATGATAAAGGAATGCAAACAGATTTTTGTCTTAGCTTATATGTCCTAAAAAAATGTTTTGCAAAATCCCCAATATTTATTCCACAGAATCTCTTATTTATTTAGAAAGGTTGGATGTGTGCTCTGACTAATGATGTTTGGACCGAATATCACTATATATGTCTCCATCTGATCAGGAGTCACATACATTCAATGCAGAAATCATTTGTCCTTTTCGTTCAGTAAAGAGGGATTAAATGACTTCATGTATTGCACTTCTGCTGGCATGACTGAAAGCAATTTCATCTGATATTTTGGAAGATACATTTTCATGGAGTAGTCATCAATATCCAACACCCATAAAGGGAAGTTTAATGGAACTTGACCTTTCCCCTTATAAGACAGTAGAAAATATTTCAGTTTTAAGCCTGGGCTCTCTATAGCCCAGTTCAAACGGTTGTCATAAGAATCACAACTGTCATTCAAAACTTACCCATTTGTTGGCTTAACACCTTGACTCCACAGTGCAGTAAACTATGAGCATGCACCAAGGCCCTTGTGAGTGTTTATACTCACAAGTGTGAGTATAAAGTGAGCAGGCTGCTTTAATTTTGATTCCCTAAAAGTCATTTTAATTTCCTTCTTTATATCAATCATAGACTCTTCGGATACTTCACCCTGCTTAACCTCATCATTAATACATAGAAATTACTTTCCACAGTCAATTATAGAGGCTTTAAAGCATGTGCTGAATTCATTTATAACTGGCTTCCTTCTCTCTCATTTGCAGTATTCAGAATGCCATCTGTCAGCAGATGACTCAGTGCCACCCCCTAAACCTATGAACTGCTCCCCTGGCTTCCATCATTGTCAGTTTCCTCTTCATTCATTGACATTCTGACTTTTGAATTTCCACTGACATTTCCTTTACCACAGCTCTTACAGAATAACAAACCCCTTCCATTAAATAAAGTTTTTCTCTTAAAACTATTATTCAGTTAGAAAGAATAGTGTTCACAATTCCAACCTTATAAAATGGGAAGAATGTTAGTTGCATTTGCAAAATCAGAGGAAGCTGATCTATCAATTATTCATTATTAATGGATATATCCATCAATTATCCATTATGAATTTGATTGGACTTATGCTTCAGAAAGTTCAGTGTTACTCTGGAGACTGTGCCAAAGGCAGTTAGTCTTTCATCAGATACAAACTCAAGTAAAAGTCTTCCTTCATTTTGTAATGCAACCCAAAATACACCAACATTTTGCACAAGAATAGCTTTTATATCTGTTCCCATTATATATTATATATGTTATAGCTTTTATATCTGTTCCCATTAGACACCTGTTCTGTTGGGCTTCTGTGCTTCCACCTGTTAACTTACATGTGTTTTGCCATCACAGAAAACTGCATCACTTGTAGGACTCGTTATTATGCCTTCTTCCTCCTTGCAATTCCTTTTGGTCAGAATCTCAATGTCATTTTGGGCCCCAGTAATGAGCTGCTGAAGACTGGGTGTACTTTTAATCTGTAAGAAATCCAGCAAGTAATTGGGAGGGGAGAAGGAGGGGGGGTGTGGTGGTTTTGTTTGTTTGTTTTAAGAAAAATGCCCTGATTCCTTCAGGAATGCTATCCTATCAGAAGAAAATTCAGTGAATTGCTGCAATTCACTCTGATCAACGTCACACAGCTGGCACACTTTCAAAGACAATTTAGTAACTCCATTGAATTATTAGTTTTATTCGCAACTCTCCCCATCCCAGCTAGTAGTATATTCATAATTTTCCAAACATAACACAACCTAATCTAAGAATCAGTACTGCAGCAATTATTAACAGTCTACTAATAACAGACCAAAAAGTAGCAATATACTAATAAAAGGCCTTATTAGTCTTTAACAAACCAGTAATTTTGTGAAAGAAAAAAACCAAAACAACAAAACCTTGCCTCCAGGAAACTCAAAACAGTATTTTGCAATATGCATGACACAGGCCCATGTGTGCCTATGCAAGAATGAAAGCAAGATGGAAGAGACTTGAAAATAGAAACACATTCTCAAGTTCTTATTTAACTTTGATTATAGACAAAGTTTACATTTCTGAGGTGTTCTTGACTTTGTTTTGACTATGTCCATCCACTTTTCCAATTTTCCCATGAATAATACCCTGATAATTTGTGAAAAATTAACATATATAGCAGCTAAACTCCTTGAGATTTAACTTCAGCCATCTCTGTTACAAGTAACAACAGTTACTAGAATGAAGTGCTGAAAGACTAATACATAAGGCTAGAAATAAGCTGAAAATAGATTTTAGCTCATTCTGGCACACCACCACCCCTGGATAAAACAAACTATGAAAAGTACATTCATAGCTCAATGGGTAGGAAAAGAGTGAAGTAAGAAGCTTTACATGGTTAGGAGCTAATAAAATAATTTCTTAAAAATAATGTATAACAGGGATTACCTGAAAGACTGGAAAAAACATTGTGTAATTGAACCAACAAAAAGGACTTCAACATATTTGCATAGAAGAAACTACATATATTTAAGAAACCTGGGAACCCCTCCCACACAATCAGCAGAAAGCACTAAAGAATGAGGATAACAGAGGAGATGATATATTGACATTACTTCTGGGAAAACAAAAACAAACAAAACAAAACAACACAGTTTCCCCCCCAAAAGAAAAACAAAAAAAAACCCAAAACCTAAACCACAGGATGTGCTAAATGCAAACCACTAGCCTGTTATTATATACAGAAATTGTTATGGGTAGTAACTGCTCTACTTTAAGAATAGATGTAAGAATTCATTAAATTCTCTTGTGAAAAGGAAACTAACAGAAACCACATTCAGAATAGAGTCTCATATATCCCCAATGACCACCATCATATTTCTCAGTAGAGAAATTGTCTTCTGCCTTATAAAACCTGAAACACCACAAATCCCACTTGCTAACCAAAACAACCTACTACACACCAAATTTTAGCTTCTACTTGGATCAGAAAAGACTATTGTGTTAAACAGAACACAAGTAATTGACAAGGCAACATAACTAGCAACACTAAACTAGCAGATCACCCAAGCAAGTCTCTCCCCTAGCCCAGCTCTAACATCTGAAGCACCATGCATTCACTGTCACAGGAGAGATAACCCACAGCTACTGACACACCACAGCTTCCAAAGCTTCCATACATCTGCTTGTTCCCCCAGTGAGGCTGTTCCTTTAGTGAGCTTGGAGATTCTGACGGAGAGAGGCCTAGAAAACATTATTCAGTTAACTTTCTAAATCCAGATTTTACACCGGCTGCTAGTTCTTGCCATGGGATTGTTTCTTCACTATTACTGAAGTTAAATATAACCTCTTTCAAGTTTAATGAAAGAATCAAGCTCTGAACAGATAATATGTTTGGAAAACTTCTTTAAGAAACAGATAATGCTTTTGAGACTGAAGTGGTGCCCCAGTCTTATACCCTGCACGTTCAAAATAGCACAGTTACAGCTATTACTTCCCAGCTATTCCTGGAGAAAAACACACACTTTCTAGGTAAAACCACCCCTCTGTTTTGATGCATTCTCTAAAAATGAGAATTCTTTCTGCTGTGAAAATCATTGCAAGTAAGATTTATACATTGTATTTTGTTATAAATATGAGTTGTTGTTTTGCAAGCATAATTTAAACCAGGTCCTGTCTCTAAACTGAAGTCATGTTTTTAGTAATGATGTAAACATCTACCCTTACTGAAGGAAAACAAAGATGGAAAAGAAAAAAATAAATGGAAGAATAATGCAATACTGCCATTGACAGAAATTAAAACTCATTTTTAAAATCACAGTACAGATACAAAAGCCATCAGATAAGTGCAGGGACAACTGAGTAAAATTTCCTTAATATTAAAAAACCCAAATCTCTAAATGTCAAAGATGGCATTTACAAGAAAAAAAGATCAACAGTAATTCTAGTAAAACTAAAATTCTAGCATAAATATAGTCTAACTGGTTTGAATGAGACAAAAGCTCCACAACTCAGAGAAATAATGCTCTGGCACACAAAGCCCATTGAAATCTATCTTTCAAATTCTGTAACACAAAGGTGGACATAAATTAAGTACCAAGTCTTTAAATGAGCAACTAAAAAGCCACACAAATAATTTGTAATCTCCTACTAGTACATTTCTCAAGCCAAAGAATCCATATTCATCTTCATGACAAAGAATTCATATTGAATCCAATTCATGACATGTCATGAATCCAATTCATGTTATGAATCCAATTCATGACAAAGAATCCATATTCATCAACATGACAGGCTGCATGCGATCAGCATGCAATGCAACATAGTTTAAGTCCATATTATCTCCAACTGCAATGTTTTTTTCTGCATTAAAAAAAACAGTGCTCTGCCAGTGGAATAAAGCCACACTGAAACGTGGCTTGCCACAATGAAAGCAGCACTCCAGTACTTAACAACTGTTGCCAGTTTTGTTTACAGTATAATTGCATACAAAAATACCAGAACTAATTTCAGAGAGTTCACAGTCCTTGCTGGGCCAATTCAAACCACTAGTCCACGCAGTCCGACATCCTGTCTCTTCCATTTATCAACACCTAACACCTCAGAGGAAAGTGAAAAGTGTGCATCAAGGGAGCTGTGAGAAGTATTTACCACGAGGTCCAAAGCAAAAGCTTTCCTCAGCATCTAATCCAGGCACTTAGTAGACCACATTTACCTCATTCAGATGAACAAAGCAATTCAGTAAGTACCCACTATGTAGAAAATTGAGTATGGCCAAAATTTGGTCACTTGAGAGGTAAAAGTGCACAACACAAAATCTTCAGTGTAACTTTAAAGCAGATATGTGACATCATCTTCAGCCCTGCATGATTTGTGGAAAAACAGATGATTGGACTTTTCTCAAACTTCTCAAGAAAACACTGAAAGCTAGAGACTGTAACCAAAGCAAAATGAAAAGGCAAGTTGCCCAACAACTAACAGCAGGCAACATTTTCTCCTTGCCAAATTAAAAAGAGCTCAGAAATTGTCAAGATGGGTTTTGGATGGCCATAGCTTGGCAGCAACAAGAGGGGCAGGAAGAGGACAAAAGACAGAGCACCTCCCAGCAACCCAACAATCACACAGGGCAGACATCAATCAGCTTCAGGAGAGACTGTGAGCAACTGGGAGTGAAATGACCCACTCCCTCCCTGTGTGAAAGTCTTTGTAAAAATCTCAGTCCAACATTTCAGCTGTGGGCTGAGATCAAGTGTTCAGACTCAGTCAAAAACCTTGTGAAGAATCAGAGTTCTGGCCATGGTCAGTGAACAACAGCTAAGCCCTGCTCGTATAATGAATGTAAAATTCCAATGTGTAAGTCATTATTCTTACAAACATATTCCATTCCTGAAACAGCCCTTACAGTTAAGAGACTGTGCAATAATAACAGATACCCTGCTTGTAATGTTGATGGCTGTGTCAGACTGGCTCCTTCTTTGCTTCCTTCTTTCCAAATTCTGCCCATGATCTGTGGTTAGGAGACATCTGTCAGCCATATCATTCTGGGACTTCGAGATTTCTGAAGTGAAAATGAAAAGAGGAGTCACTATAACAAACATTGCAACCAACCCTGTAGATTTATAGGCTAACTCTGTAGCTTTCAAACTTTCAGCCTGCAGTTTTAGTACTGATCTCCTAAGAGTAAAAAACAGATGGGAAAGCAAGTGCTCATCCCATTTTGTATAATGATATTTTTTCCACCTAAATCTTTCCTGCTGTTTCAACTGGAGATTATACTACGTGCTTCCTATCATTATAGCTACTGCAAGGAATTGTTGTATGCTATCAAATACAGTTTCCATGCAGAAGTAGCTACTACAGTCCCTTTATATAGTTTCATTTGTAAAGCAGTTTGGTTTGGTTCAGAGTAAAAGCAAGATCACTATAACATAAAGCAACATGACAATGGAAATTAGAAAGCAGAGCATATTGGAAAGTATTTAAAAATGTATCCAAAATACAGATGAAAGGAGAGTCATTACACACTCAGGTACCAAATCACATATAATTTTAAGAACATGAGTAGCCCTCATTGACTTCAATAACATTACTCATATGGATAAGTTTATGTCCATACTTAAGTAGCTTATTGAATTAGCACTTCAGCAATACCTAGTTTATTGTCAAATAAATCTGAAGGACAATTAGGCATTTAGCGCAGCACTTTTTGCTTCTTATTCCTCAGGGTACAGTCAGAACTTCACATAAAGAGGAGGGCAGCACTCAGCTGCATCTGAAGTTGAAAACTAGCAGGCTTAGCAGCAGACACTTTGCATTGCAAGCCCTAGATAGTCTCTCATGATAAATTAATAACTTATAAGATGTACATTAAATAGCTATCATATGTTTAATTCATACAGAAGAAATAAATATTTCTCTCACAACATAAGCCTCTGTGGAGGAGCCTCAGACAACAGGTCATTACAGTATTAAAAAAAAACCAAACTGCACTCTTAAGTGTGATTCTTAAAGCCACTTTGAATTAGTTTTGTTCTTAGCAGCAATCAGTCCTCAGCTGTTTACTGTACTCTATGCACACTATTAAGGCATCACATGACATATACAGGCAGGCTCAATTAAGTCATTTCTGACTGTAAATGAAACCAGGTTTTTAAAATACACACTGAAATAAGAGATCATAAAAAGAACTGGAGTGAGAGATCTAATGGGGTAGATACAATCTGAGTAGCTTGACCAGCAGGAGAAGCAGAAACACAAGCTTGCCTCACACTCTGCTAGAATGAACAAGTTAAAGAACAGGTTACTGTGAGGAAAAAGAAAACAAATTAAAAAAAGAAGATTGTTCAGATTTCATATCTATTCCTACTTTGGCTTCTCTACCCGAATATCAGTAACACAGACACCATCTCTAGTGCCAAGGGTGATTTTGCACTGCAAATAAAACTACAACCAGCTCCTCGTTTTATATTCTCCAAATGGCAGCCATTGGATTATAACCTCCCGTTACTGCCAAACCATGCTGGAACAGGAGGTAACAGCATAGAGAGCAGACTGTACAAGGCAGCATTGTGCTGCACGTGATAGTCCTTTGTTCCCTCTGCTCTCAGACATGCACATACTTAGGCTCCAGAATCAGAGGCATAACGAAGTTCTCCAGCAATACACAAGAGCTGGATGTATTAAATACCTCTTCAAACTAGGATGTTTTTTATCTAGATAAGGTAGAGTACTAACTTCATACACTTGTGACCAAAAGCGTTTCTCAGCACATTACCAGGTTGCATTAAGAGGCCACACTGTTCAAAAGAGCTGTTTTCTTAAGCCAAGAAGCCCAAGCCTTTCCCCCTGTAAGACTTTCTATAGTTTCTAATTATTGACTTCAGTGATTGCAACAGCCAGTTATTTCCTTACAAATTAAAAGGTTCTACCTTAAGAGAATGATAGCACCTGGGTGGGGTTCCACATACAGCTGAACTGAGCTAACAACTTGCTGCCATTTTTCCCTCTGCAACCACTGCTCTTCCCTACTCAGCCCCTGGCCATATAGCCCAGCATGCTCTGTTGTGCAAGCTCCAACATATATAACCTACCCTGAACCTATTCAACTCAATGAACCAGTGGAAAAGCACCTACATGCTTTGTCTGTGCTAATGTTCTGCCGTTTTAATTAACTAAATCAGTTTCCAGAAGGCTCCAGAAACACTGATGCTAATTCAAGTTAAGTGATGGCTGCATACAACCAGAAACAGGGAAGCTAGATAAGGGGGAAGACGGGGAAGTAGGACCTTTCTTTTGGTAGCAGTCAACTATTAAATTAGCTTGCTGCAGTCCTGGCAGTCTTCACCAGTAACTGTGGGGTATGACTTGGCTTTAGACTAACAGAAATCAGAATTAATTACTTTTTATCCAATTCTGTGCTACCTCAGCTGTCTGCTTCCAGCAGTGAAGTGTCCTATGCCACCCTACACTATGCTTCTGTTCAGAAGAGGCAGCCCTTGAGTCTCTGCATAGCTTTAATATGTGTTCACATGAACAACATTAAATTTGTTTAGTTAAAGACCAGGCCTTTAGGGTGGGTGGAAAAAGTTAGAGGAAAGACCAACCAAAAGCTAGGACAAGAGTTAGGGGTAAAGGCTGGAAGGCGCTAAAGCCAAATTTATTCAGGTCTAATCCCACATTTGGGGTTGTGTAAGATTAAGTTAGTAAAAAAACACTAAGGTTTGTTCAAATATATGCAAATGTGCAAGCCCCTGTAATCTTCATAAGGCTCAGAAGTTGTTTTCCTTTGGTCACTGATGCCTTTAATTTGTTCTTCACAGAGGCTGGCTGTAGTTAGCCTTAGAGGTGCATACCCAGTCTGTACCCTCAAGAACAGCAGGTAGCATAAGTGAATGGAAGGAATGAGAAGTATGAGAATGAAAGAAGAGTTGTTAGGACTGCCTGGCTCTTAAAAGTATGAACTGGACAAAAGCACACAACTAGATGGACTGAGAAAGAGGAAGCAAGGAAGCCCTCTTGAAAACTGGCAGTGAATGAAAATATTAAACTCTACTTCCATTACATGATAGATTCTTTGACAGGGTCAGTTGGGGTTCAAGTCAAGGATACAACATGAATATCACTGAAGTAGAAAGCGGTTATTACACTGTACTAATGTGAATTAAAAATGCTGCATCTGAACACCCAGTAAACTGAAAAATGACATTAAACAGTCTTTTCGCATCTGCATAAGGCATTCTGGGATAGTATCATCAGCTTGTTCAATTAGCAAAACACTGAAGGAGAACTATACTTGCTGTATTATTTTACAGGTTGGCTCAGTCTTGGCATTAGTCATTTCAGCCACTTCTCAATACCCTTTTTTAATAACTATTTTTTTTTGCCAACAGTTTGGACCAAAAAACATTTCACTATGTTACCCTAGAACAATAAAGCAATGGAAGTTACTTACTTTTTATATGTGTTGTGAGAGACAGAAACAAGTTTTCCACAGATTTGTTAAAACTTTTAGACTGACCGAGTTCCTGCAAATGGGAGATGGATGCCAAAAGTGAGAAATCACAAAATATTTGATGTTTTAAAATTTCCATGATCACTTATCTACAGACCATATAACAATCAGATGGTAAGGCTGCAGCCCTTTGCTCACTTCTGTAGACAAATACATCTGAGGACATATGTTAACATGGTTGAAGACTGTCATTCTAATGTATGAAGATGGAAAATAATATTTTCAGTTCCATACTCTGATGTAGAAGTGGAACTCCTCTGTAGGCAGATTACACAGCAATTTCTTAAATACAACTATTTACATCACCAATTTGTTGTAATGTATTTAATACTAAGCAGGAAAGTCCTATCTATTACAGATGTTCCTGTGCCTCTGAATCGGAACTTCCATCAAGCTCCAGGTAAGCACATATTAGAATGTTTACAGAATTGCAATGGGCTTCAAACCAGGGCCTGAGGACCCAGTCCAAAATTAACTGAAATAGTAATTCAGTGTGATTTCAATGAGTTCTGAGCCATGCCCTACTAGTTCGTCCATTAGAAATTGTAATGCAAAGGCAAGCATCAAATTTACTGTGTTTCACCAGTAATGAAAGTAACACATGGAATTATAGCTTTATAAATGACTACTGAATACCATAGGATCACGAGATTCTTCAGGATAGAGGTAAGCTCAGGAGCTACAGCCTTCCTGTAATGAAGGACCAAAAACCAGGTGCAGTATCCCAGTGCCAAGTGGCATGGTTAATCACTTTCCTCAAAACTGAAAACTAACTGAAAACTTCCCTCATGACAGCCTCTGACCTCTCTCTACTACTACCAATGCAGCGTGTAAAAAACCTTACAAAGGAACATCAGGGAGCATTTATATTGCAATATGATGCTGCAGTATTTGCTATTTCCTGCCTTTCTGTGGCTGGCCTGTTCATATGAATGGCACCCTGAGAGGTGGATATATATATGTATATTTTGCAGATACATACATTTACCATCACGTTACTTCCTGCTGTGGATTCTGTGAAAGGAGGTGGAGTTGGAGGTATGACAGAAATTTTACTAGAAATTTAAGAGATAAACAGTGCTACAATTAATATATTATACTAATAGATGGATAAATTAATCATATTCATGCACAGTATCTTTACTATCTGCCTTTCCTGCAATCTAAAGATCCGAGTTGAGATCCTGTGTCTTTAATAGTTGCATCACAGGTTGACTGCCTGTTTGTAACAATTATGACTACCTTTCTGACTTTTTAATCTTGGGCTGCTCTAGGCAGGATTATTGATTTAAAACAATCAGGAAGACCTGATTTAGGACAGGCTTTCTACAATTCTACATGGTTGACATTATCACAATCCGTTTCCGGAGTGTTAAAACACAATTTCTGTGTAACACGCCCCATCCCTGTTTCAGAGATGTTTCCAGAAAACAGTCATCTTTATTTAGCATACTAAAAGGCCCTTGTCTGGGCCCAAAGCTATTAAAGCCCCTTTACAGCATTCCAGCCATTTCAATTGCTGTAAATAGCCCCAGCTCACTGTCATCTTACTGATTCTGCTACCACAGCACAATCACAGACCCTAAAGGCAGCTAGTGAACTTCTTTTTTGTTTGCCTTTTACTTTTACCACATCTAGATAAAAGCAAGTCCTATGCAGCCCTAGTTAGGATCATATCTAGCTACCTATAAGTTTCTGTCTCATGCAGCTATGCCTCACCAGTTAATTACCATAAAACTGAGGCCATCTCTTTGTATCTTATTTAACTTTTTTTAAGGAAGAGGGTTTCTTTTATGCAATATTGTTTAAGTAGACTTATTTCATTATGTATCACTAGTAATAACTTACATATGGTTATGCTTAGGCCTCTAGTCAAAGTATTTATTCAGTGTAAACTGGATTTGTTACTCGTTTTAAGCTTAGTAAGTGGATGCATCTTACTGAACAGACAGCTACTTGTCTGCTATTTATTCTAAAGTTATCAGATTATCAGTATCTCCCATTGAGTAAAAAATGATGCTGTTGCTATTATACTGCATAAATAATTTTAATCTCTGTCATAGTGTGTAAATTTGAAAGATAATGGTGTAAGCAGTTATGTAAAAATTTAAGCAGATACGGCAAAAACAACATACGTCCCTTCAAGTAAATAAGATACATATTACTCTAAACATACTTACTCCCTTCTTATGTATTGCTGACAGGTAAAAGTGGCATTTTTCTATGATTTTTATTTGTATGCTGAAAGTATTGTAATCTGTTTTTTACGATAAAAACAAACTGTTGGTTAGTTTGTAACATACAATATATCACCTATACAAATTCTCAGTGTCCTAGGACCATTTGTCCTTTTATGAGTCTTACCTCAGTTTCTGATAAGATTTCAAGAGCTTCGCACCAACTGTTTCGTGTCTGCCTGCAAAGGAGAAAAGCAAACAAACTAAAAACCCACACAGAGGTCATTTAGCAACAGCAGCGGTTACTAACATCCATATGATACCTTTATAAAATCAGTGCCTTTCAAGAGCTGGCCTGTATCTACAGGAGCTCATGCACATGCAAGTCAGGAGTAAAAAAATTACCCCTCGCCTGACATACCAGCATACATGCCAAGCAACATGCAAGTTTCTCCTGTATCACAAGCCACATCACAATTTCACCCTCACCTTTCACAGGCGACATGTTCAGACCAGCACTTCACAAATGCTGAGGACAACCTCAGCTGATGTACAGGTGCTAACAGGCCCGTTCCTACAGGTTAGAAGTGCTCTCAGCCTCCTGAGGTCCCGGAAGCAGGTAGTACCTACTGCACTGACAAGACACTTCAACCATAACACTCAAACACTATGAAAAGCTTGAAAACGTGTACAAGAGTAGGCACATGGTCACCTCCTGCATCTCTACAAAAAATTCTTTTCACTTTCCCCAACAGAGACTTCGAACAATCATGAAAACACATGACTAGCTCACAACTCTTTGCCAAGGCCAACCCCTGTGGGGAAATAGCAACCATGTGGCATTCCTCAGGTGAATAGAGCAAGCACTCCATCAGGCAGAAACAATGAAGACTCATAAAAATGTAGCTCCTGAGTGATTGCAAAACAGGAAGAAGAGCTAAATGTTGTAACAAATGGCCAACTTAAAATATCTGGGGTGGCTTTAATTGCTATTCGTTCTTAATACAATAGAAAACAGCATGCAATCCGTACTTTGGTGAATATGTCATTAATCATAACATACTGCTTACTTCAACTTACATCAACTTACTGATGTTCCAAACTTCAATCAGAGCTCCAGACTTAATGCTCTGTTATTAATAAGTAATATTTGGTATCATGATGTATTGCAGAATTAAGTTAGATTTCTTAGATTTTTAACTCATTATTCAGGAAAGGCAATCAATTTGATGAAAGCATTTTTATTCTTTAGGTAGAAGCTACACAAAATTAGTAAAAAGTATACTGATATAATTTTTTTACATGAGAAAAACTTTACCGTAACATGTATTTTTTCAGTTAAACTTCCAGTGTGTTATATTTTCAAACCAAAAGAGGGCACTGTCTCTCCAGACTTGAAGGACACACAACTACAACAGCTGCTGTTTCAAAGTTTGACCGTTTTAATCCCTTTAATTATATTAGTTGGTCTAACCAAAGGAACTAAACAAAACATATGTCTCCCTGGAAGCTTATCATCTGCATGTCCTTAGATTTTTGTGACTTCAACAGTATTACTATTCAACTAACTAAGCAAAATGCTTCAAAGCACCCACAAAGCTTTGATAATGCAAGGTGAGAACTCATTCATTTTACTGGAAAGAGGGACAGTCAGTACCTTGCAGTATGAGGTTCAGTTTCTGAGACAAACTCAGCATTTTCCAATAACAGACTGTTAAACTAATATTTTAAAAATCAGAAATTATGTTAGCTAGTATTGAATTCCATGTAATCTTTCAAATTTTAAATGAATTGTTGCAGGAACTGTAGTTCAGTTTCTTAATATGCTACCTATTGTCTTTTGTGAATACCTACTACCCAAAATTTGCCTGACTACATTCTTCCATTCATAAACTTCTTCCTATTTAAGTTTTCCAAGAGATGTTTCAGTGCCTTCCTATCTACCAGCTACTCTTTAATCTATATGTGATGCAGATACTGTAAGTAAAACTTCAGCATTTAGCTACAGTCAAGCACAAAGTGAAATATGTGCCTATCTGAGGGGAAGAAGGAAGGAAATCCTCTCCACCTCATTAGTCATTGTAGGTGAAACCAAAGACCAACAACCCATTGGCTAGCAAAACACATTCCCCATAGAGCAACCCATCCACATCCTCTGTAATTTCTTTTAGACCTTTGTAATTGCACTGAAAAGACTGAACACAAGGCAGTGGCACAGCTGGCTGAAAGTAAAGGAACAGTTATGAGACCTTACTTGGAGTACTGTGTACAGTTCTGCTGTCCTCAACATAAAAAGGACATGGAGCTCTTGGAGCAAGTCTAGAGGAGGACCATTAGGATGATCAGGGGACTGGAGCACCACCTGTATGAAGACAGGCTGAGAAAGTTGGGGCTGTTCAGCCTGGAGAAGAGAAGGCTGCGTGGAGACCTCATAGCAGCCTTCCAGTATCTGAAGGGGGCCTATAAGGATGCTGGGGAAGGACTCTTCATCAGGGACTGTAGTAATAGGATAAGGGGTAACGGGTTAAAACTTAAATAGGGGAAGTTTAGATTGGATATAAGGAAGAAGTTCTTTACTGTGAGGGTGGTGAGGCACTGGAATGGGTTGCCCAAGGAAGTTGTGAATGCTCCATCCCTGGCAGTGTTCAAGGCCAGGTTGGACAGAGCCTTGGGTGACATGATTTAGTGTGAGGTGCCCCTGCCCATGGCAGGGGTTTGGAACAAGATGATCTTAAGGTCCTTTCCATATTCTATGATTCTATAATTTATAGCTATGCATGTTTTTCTTTATTCCATTCTGTAACCACTTCAAGCTTTAGAACTGTCTCAGTGAAAACAACTGGAGTTTTAACTTTGACAGACAATGGATGCAAGATCATTTCCTTCCTGCACACATATTTTAACATTTCTGTATTTTTTTCATGTCATTGTATTTCTCAGAAGACTTCCATGCTCATTAACTTAAATTGATATGGCCAACAATTTTCTTATTCCTATTACTCATACCAAGTAAATTATACTTTTAAATGCATTCTGCTAATTTGTGTTCATGCTTTATCTAGTGCATAGACAGATGCACTGCATGGTAATTTCTGACAAATCTCTCACCAAGTGGAAGGAAAATTAAATACAGTGGCAAACTACATTCAGTGTTTCATAAAGATGAAGACTACACATGACATGGTCAGTGATTACCTTCACTTGGATATTTCTTTGCTCGTTCCTCAAAAAACCATTCGCCAGCCTTTACTTTCACATCTCTGAAAAGCAAATAAAAGGCATTTGAATCAACATTTTCCAAAATGCATTTATTCATATGTTTGGTAGCTATTTAACAATCCAACAATTTTTCTTTTTTAATCCTACCACAAAGCTAAAATTTTATGACTGCTCACTCTGTTGATCAATTTTGCTGTGGGTCTGCAAACAAAGGGTTCCTCCTCTCCTTCCCCTCCTCCCACTTTTTCCTACGTAGGACTGCCCATGAAAAGCAATGCATACTGCTCTAGGTGTTAACTTTGAAGCCAGGAGTCTTGGATCCACTCTAGTCTATACAAGCAAGTTACAGTACAGCCCAGGTACTTGTGCTGCCTGGTGTGCTGACTGCTTACAGTTGCAGTCTAGTCTGAAGAGCAGGGAAAGTCAACAATGGAGGATGTGCTCCCAGGCAGAACTTGGGATGGCTACCAAGGAACATTAAGCTCCACAACCGTGATGGTGCAACGGCTGCATGTTCTCTCTCTCTCCATTTTGTGGAAACCAACATCAGTACTGCCAATGTCATACACAGACACAAGGATCAGGAAAGCTATGACTAACAAGTATAAAATGATATTAGACCAAATAGCTCTGTCAAAAGCCAATCTGCAGCAGATTTGACTCTTGCATTTTGTCTCCAACAGACTTAGATGAAGTCTACAATCTGAATTAATCCATTATTAAAGAGACAAAAAGAATTTTAAGTGAGGAAAGGATTCTCTGGAGTTTACAGGGTAGAAATTTTCATCTAAATGTCTTACTAATTTTTAGGGCATATATAGTATCTCTGTTCCCTGTGGATTTTCTGACACTTATTATAGGATGAAGTTCCACTGCAAAAATTTCGTCGTGAAGGTACCACTAAACTTTTTCTCTACCCAGTAGTTCATTTTTTCTATGAAAATCACATCTTTATTACCATTCCTTGACAAAATTGCTTCAAATTGGCAACAACATGCAGACAGTAGATTTACATAGGGCTTGTTTCCTTAAGAAAGCAAAACCTGTTAACATGAGAGCTACAGCAATATCCAAAATCCAGCCACAAAATCCCTGGGTCTGCCACTTTACACCTAACCTTACTCTATGTTAAGATGGACAAACTATAGGTAGGATGGTGTTTTTTGCTCTTTCAGTGGCTTGATTTTAAGGCATTTTAGGCATTTAAAATATACCTTTGTAAGTAGTAATGCGGAATATTAAATTAAAAAAAAAAAAAATTCACTACCTGTGTATATTGTACTAGTTACCCCTTCAGTACCTTGCTATGATCTACTGGCTCAGTATTGAGTCAGGGGAAGGAGATCTATCTGCTGTTCAGAAACTAACAACTGTTCCTGTGCTTTGCTGTTATCATCTTTGTCATACTACTTCTGGCCTACCCTGAGGATTCATTTTGCAAAATACAAGAACATTTGCAAAATCCTGACTACATGAAGTATAACATAAAATTCCCATCAACTTCACTGCTACCAGGACTCCATATAACATTTTCATTCCACCAGAGGCTTGGTTTCATTAATTATTTAAAGCAACAGAAACATAAACCAGCATGTATCCACTGAGTAAACAGTGTAAACCAGCACTTATCCAAACCAATAACATTTCTTACCCATGAGCATAACAAACAGTGCATTTCCAAAGGCAGGGATTCAGGCAGACACGGCATTCAGAGCACACTCGATGACTGCACCCATTGCATACTGCACCCCTGTTCATCAGCAACCCAAGCAATTTCTGACATCGAGCACAAGATCTCTCCTGGTATTCATGGCTGGCATTTCTTGCCCCTTTCCACCGAAGCTGCTGCAACTGTAGTTTCAGTTTCCTAATCCCCCGGATAAGAAAAGCAAACAAAAAGAAAAGATTACAAAATTAAATAGACCAAAACCCTCATGTAAATTGCAAGCTAATGCCCTGGTTGTGCAATATCATTACCAGTGGGAGATATGCCTCCAAGTTTGACTTCAATTGAGCACTTGCTGAAGGCATCTACACACAGCATTCTACATTGTGACTTTGTATGCAACCACAACTGTGCATAGAGTAATAGTCTGGTATAAATGGGATTCTGTTCATGTCAGTTGTGCATGCTCAGGGCAGGGTTTTGAAATTGTGTATGCAAGTGATTATGTATTCACATACAAAAACTGAGACTAGACAGTGGTCCCTGTCATTAGATGATTCTTTTTACCATTGTTATCCAAGAATAAAATCTTCTATCAAGTAAAAATATTCATAACAAATACACCATCTGTAAGTTAACTAAAACCATATCAGACCAAGGTATCAAAGCCTTTCCCTTTCATTGACTTTGCTTTCATTACATATACCAGTAACCAAGATCTAAATTTTTAACTGTTAGCAAAGAGTTAGCAAATCCTCAACAGGTGAAAGATATTTTCTGACCAATTCCAACTTTCTTTATAACCCTTTACTTACTTTTTATCATAATTTAAAATATCCAGTAATACTTACATAAATATTTGCTGTAAGCAAAGTTTAAGTTTCTACACTTAAGAGACTAAAAATCTCTAACTTTGCAACACAAATACCGTTTTACACAAGGATGCAGTGTGAGAAAGTAGACAAGCTGCAAGGAAATCCTTGCTGTAGCCCTAAAGTAAAGCAAATAGAATTCTGGAGGATTTATCCCTTAGCCTTCACAACCAAGATATTTGCATAGCATAAAATAACCAGATAGCCAATGACACCTATTGACACTAGTAGCAATCTCCAAGACAGTGTAGTGCAGTGATGGATTCAGCAAAATGAGCAGGTATCCAGTGATTCTTAATTCCAGTCTTGGCACAATGTAAGTTAAATAAAGCATCCAAAGCGCTGAAGATGTTCTGTGTTATTAGGACTATATAGGCACGCATAGGAATGTGATGAGAATGCCATAAAGCCAGAACCTCCTTACAAAATTTCACTGCTAGCCTTCATAGAAAGTTCAGTTGCTGCCTTTAGTTTTTCTCTGAAGGCTGCAAGTAAAATTCTCTAAGTAGATTATTCACTGAACAGTATTTGCTCATCTTTACTGAAGAATAGTGTATATTATGGTAAATGTAAGGGACTCTGGATAACCCTTAGTATTCCCAAAGAATAAAAAGGCATTAGCTAACAAGTCATAAAAAGGAATACATTTGGAATGATAGCAAAGGAGTGCCTTTTAGGAAAAAAAAAAAAAAAAACCACACACAAAAAAAAACAAAACAAAAAACAAAACCCAAACCAAAAAACAGAAATCCAAGAATAAGGGAACAGCAGATACCTTATTCTTTTCTCCTCTGTTTCTCTCACCATCTGGTCACGGTACAGGACTTCTAGAACAGCTTCTTGTTCCTGTTGCTTAAGGAAGTTTAGATTGAATTCACAGGCCATTTTCCCCAAACTCGTCCTCTTTTGTAGACTCCTGTCCTATGGTTCTACAGCACCTGGAATGATGGATACTACTTTATAGAGTAGTCAGAGTGGTCCGAGTGTTTATAAGTGCCTGCACTCTTAACATTTTCAGTGATATGGTTCACCGTATCATACCCCAGAAGAGAAAAACCACCATGTCTGTCTTCACAAAAGTCATCATTTAAGTGTTTCTGCTACCCAGGGAACATGAACAATTAGCAAGGTCACAGCAGCTTGTCTGTTTCACACAAAATAACTTTTTTTCTTTTTTTTTTCTTTTGTGGCTGAGCGTGGTTCCAAAAGAGATGAGAGCTTGCAGCAAGGCTCAGGATTGGGCTTTAACTGTCACCAGAAGGAGGGACAATTCACCAAGAGATGGTGTAAAGGAATGGAAGGATTTTTTTATTTGGTCTTGCAGATTTGGCATTTCCAGACCTACAGGAAAAAAAAACCCAACAAACAAACAAACAAACCAAAAAAACCCGAACATGCTATCAGTCTTTTCACCTCTTCAGGACGTTTTAGGTAGTATGTGAAGACCACACTTTGCTATCCTCAGACCTTTCATGCACTAACTCGGATACAGGAGAGGCTTTGAGACAGTCCTGTTCTGCAGACAGTTTTACCGTATTTGTCCCGTTATACTCAGACATAAGCCTTCACATTTTTTATTCAGTAAACATAAAACAACCAATAAAGAAGCTTAAATTAGTTTTGAACAAAGGTTTACAGGTCCCATAAGTGGAAAAGCCATACTGGTCGAGACAAAACACCCCTTTCTAATCTCATCTTACTGAAAAGATAAAACATCAAGTTTAAGAGGAAAGAGCAAAATAAACCTTTTAAGGGTCTCTCCTACCAGTTACCTCAGTCTGTTAAGTCTAAATAAACAGTTTAATACCCAATAATGTTTATCTTTCTTAATACACACAAACACTGAAGACTTAAGATATATATTATTTCCAGCTCAGTGCACTAACAATTCTGGCTCCAAACTGATGATGTTGGTGCACAGATAAATGAGAAGTATAAAATTAAAACAGAATCACAACTGTATTTTGGATATATTCTGTGATCTTCACTTTCGTAAAACTTCAAAAACAATAGGAAATAATTTTAATGTATTTTACAGCAAAGTAGAGCAAGAAAATGATTACTCAAACTAATTCAGCTTACACACCATATTCAGTTTTAATACTGCTGTCTGGCGTCTATTACAAGACATAGAAGAGCATTCCACACATGGTACACCAAATATTAAAGATTTATACATAAAAACTGGGTGTTTCAAACTTAATCTGTATGAAATACATGCAGTCGAGCTCTAGGCAGAATGTCTAGGGAGTAGGACAGCAAGGGGAAAACTTTCCCAAAGCAGTTACTGATGCTTCAGTGATGGACTTCAGCTGAGAGTCTGACCAACTATCTGCATGTTAAAATACTGTGAGTTTTAAGTTAAAAAAAAACACAAACAAAAAAAACAAAGGAAAACACCCACCCTGCACCAAAACTTCAGATATATAGTGACAATGTGTTTTTTCAGTGCTGGGAATTACTTTACATACAGCTTGCCCCATCAAGCTACTTAATTTCCCACAAAAAAAAAGAAAAAAGAAAAAAGCAGGTGACAATTTGTGTTTATAAAGAACGACGTGTTTCACAGAAACAATGTCAATAAAGAAAAAAAAAAAAAGATTGTCTTCCTGTGGAAGCAAAAGAGGCAGAGATAGGCAGAATCATACTTTATTTCCTTACAAACTGCAGTTTAACAGGAAGTTACTCAGTTGAAAGCTAAAAAGCCTGAGCAACTTTTTAACACAGTATATGTAATTTTCAAAGGCCCCTGCTTCCTTTACCTGCTTTCATCTTTTACCTCAAAAATACCTCCCAGGATTGATGAGCATGTTTTGAGTCTTCAATTCAAGTCAATACAGTCTAAAAGAGCAGTCAGCACAAACTCAGCGACCTCCGCATGAAGGATATCAAAACACTCATTACTGGGCAAGATACATTTTCTATAAACTCCTACAATTTCCAAAGGCAAGCATATCTACACAATCATCAGAACGCCCAGCGGAAGCATCAGTACAAGCTAGCAAATTTGTGATAGTCATTATTAGCTGGATCCCATAAAAGCACTCTAATGATTTTAAAGAAAATATATGAATGTCTTGCAAGGCTACTAAGAACGTGCCACAGTAAAACAGTTACTAAGACCAACTTCTGCAGTTAAGTAAGCACAGAATACTTCTTATATCTCCTTCAAATGCTTTATAAAAGGGCCATCTCCCTTCTTCATAGAAGAATACAAAGTTTTCCACATTTCATGGCTATTTTGAGTAAATGGGTTTCAGATAACATCTTACTGTATGAAAAATATTGAGGGTATATAGAATCTTATTTAGAGATGCAGATTTTTTTCTTATTATTTTTTCAGCTATTCAAGCTTGCTCAAATTTAAATGGTGTGAGGAAAGGAACAGCTTGGAGCCTCCCTCTTGTTTCCACTCTGCCCTGCACACAGCTACTCCCCCCTGGAAATACAGCTTCTGCCCTAGCCAGGGCACGATTCTTCAGAAGGGCATCCTACTGCAGCCCATCAGTGGTACTGCAAGCACCATCATTAAAACCAGTTGGTCACTTGCTACAAGTGGTGTTTTCAGTAATGATCCTCCTTGACAGGAAAAAATAATTTAAAAAACCTTCTCAGGTGCCCTCCGTTCACATCTACCCACTGAACCCAGCTAGCTAGCCGTTTTACATAGTCAGCTAACCTCAAAGCTGAGTGTCTTCTACATGAAACCAAAAGCAACAGCAACCTCTGTAATAAATACAATGACACTTCTCCCACAAAGCTCAGATGAAATATTTTGTTCAAACATTATTTTAAATTATGTATTTAAAGTAAAACAGCATCAGGCACCTTGCAGATGGATCAGTAGCTTTTTAAAAATATCATGCAAAGGCTCAAAGCCATTGTAAAGGAGACTGGACAACCAGTGTGGTGACACCTTAAGAGAGGGAGAGATGCACACACACAGTGCAACCTCAGAAGGCCATGTTTTTTTCTATTAGGCTAGAACAGTATGCAGCTATATAACTGAACATCAACCAAAAGGCCTGCCTTAGACAAGATTAAGTTTGCAAAGGGTAGTTTAAGTTTTTGAACTTAGAAATGCCTGACTTAGCAAGCTTTTTCTCAAAGCAATCTTGCATGTAATGTATTCTTGATCTCCATTCAGATCCTTAAGCATTAGCAAAATAATTACAATTAAATAAGTATAAATAAGATGATCTTCTAAATTTGTGGCCTTCATTGACTTGCGATAACTGGACTACTTGCATCCGTTAACCCAGAAGATGGATGTATCAGTACATCAGTAGCTAGGACAGATTAAAAATATAGATAAAAACTATCACAAAACCTACTGTAATTTGTGTCTATTTTCTGTTCTGTAGAGGCCAATCACAGAAATTTATTCTTAGTTAAGAAAATTACAAGTGTTACTTTGCACTACCTGGCTGTAGCAGTTTAATTTTCACATCCTTGCATGCACACATGCAAATTACTTGAAAGTTCTTTGATAATATTTTACCAAAGTTATGTCTTGTGATTTTAATGACATCCCATGCCAGCACTTACAGTAAAAAAATAAAAAACAAACAAAACCCAAACCCAACAGAGACACTTAAGCTCCAGTTGTGGTCTTTCTATGAAATCTTTGCAGTTTAAAAAAAACCAACATCCAAGTAAAAATGCATCCCCCTGTGCAATGTCATATAGAACAGATTAAAACAATGCCCTTACCTTTTCAGCAGCCACCAAAGAAAGACAGGTGGAAGTAAATTGCTTTTAAGAGATGAGTAGCACTCTACTTATCTTTGCTTAAAGAAAAAAAAAAATGGTGGCTGTTCTCCACCCCCTTTCCTTCCTTTGGACACCAAAATTAGACTGACTCATGTAGAGAGGAGCATCCTTCAAACAGCTAAAAGCAAATACACTCAACAAAGATCTGTAATATTACAGCAGCTTTCCCCAGGTGTCTGGTTTTGTTACCAGCAACAAGCAATCAAGAAAAGTTACTCCTCTTTCTAACATTAAAAAGAGAGTGAACACAAAAGACTATAAAAGCTGAATGATACCATCAAACTATGCTCAGCCTTCAAGCCACACAGGAAGAGAAGTGGCTTTGAGTTCTACATCATTTCTTTCTCTGGCACTATGCATGTGAAAATCTTACTAACCTCATTGGCCCCAGGACTCGCACAAAAAACTCTGCTTGTATCATTAACAGTCTTTTCCTGGAAACAAAATGGTTTTCAAGTTTGAATGACAAAGCAATTAATGTAAAAAACTTTAAAAGAATTTTTTTTAATGCATCTGTGAAAAAAAAACACCCAAACCCAAACTAAACTTTATAACTAGAAATTCGATCTCAGATAATGATTAAAAATTATAATATTATTTGGATTAGTTATCCCAGTTCAATCTATTACAGAACCAAATGGGAGTGATAAAGTTCAAAATTACATCCAAGTTATTTCAAAATCTGCTGTTCTTGGAAATCAATCTCCTGTTTCCCTCCTGGCTCTACCAGATAAACTGTATGTACCTTGGAGCAGCCCTTCTCAGTTAAATAGGTTCAGACATTTCCACCTGTGTATGTCAAGTCTAATTACCTTCTACAGCTGTATTGCCAAACAGAAAGTAACTGTTAGTAGAGCACAGTTATGCTCAACAAAGAATATTTGGATGATTTGGGCCTTCATTTCAGGTAAAACTTTAACTAAATGAAAGCTCAGAAATAACCTGAGAACTGTAACTACCCACAGCAACAGATGTGTAATATCACAAATCCAGGTTGAAAGACATCAGCCTTACCACCAGCTTTCCCCCAATATTTAACCACAACCTTAATCACCACACTTTTCACCTCATTGTTTTTTTCCCTCTCATCCCTAGGCATGGAAAACTGCTGCAGTATTTTATACCTGCTAAGAACATGCCTAAACAAGCTCCACTTGTTCAACCTTCCCATAGCCTCACCTTTCATCTCTGCTTTCAGGCTGGCAGGAGCAGCAAGCGTAGGCTCAGAGATGAGTGGAGGGCAGGCTGGGCAGGCTGAGCAGCCAGCCACAGTCCCACCACATCCAGCAGTGGGTGCTGCCTGCATGGTGCCCCTACACACTCCCAAGGCAAGGGGACTGGCTCTTCTGCTTCAAGAAAAGCAGGGTCTGACACAGGAGTGGAGACAAGTGCGAAAAATATAGCAGAGGTTCACTGAAGAGACAAGCCTGAAGCAGAGGGGCTCATTGGCAGAGACCACAGCTGGGGCTGGTCAGGGAAGCTCAGGCCCGTCGGTACTCAGGCCCTGAGGCTTTAACTCCCTCAGCCTAAACCTGGACACAGCATTCCTTGCAAGGCCTTAGTACAGAGAGCGCAATGGAAATCCTGCTTCCCATGTCCTGCAAGCTATACATCCATTTCCACATCCCAGTATGGCATCTTCCCTTTTTTAACCACATCATAGGATGAATTTAGGAAAATTGTACCTCCCACACCCCTTTACTCCCTGGTCTATGGAACAGGTACTGAATGAGCCAGTCCTGCCCTGTCTGCATTTATAGAGCTAGGTATTCCTGCCTCAGTACACACCTTGCACTGGCTCCCTGTTATTTTTCCCTTCATTCAGGCTATATTTCCAGTTCATCTATGGTACTCTGAGCCGGAACAGCATCTCCCACTGCCTACAGCAGCTCTCTGAGGTCGGTATCATCAGACACTGGGACAACCTGTTCACACTGCATAACACAAAATCCATAAACTGTGAAAAGCATGCCCTTTAATTTCATTAACATCCAGGTGTAAGAATTCAGGTATTCTTCATGTCTTTCCATGTGTTTGTTTGTTTGTGGGGTTTTGTTTGTTTTGTTTAGGGTTGTTTTGTTTGGTTTTGGTTTTTCAATAGTTCCAGTGCATACATGACATATTCAGGTCTTCTTTTCAAGCTCTGTTTCCAGAAGCAAGATGCAGACCCTCCTTTCCAGGGAAAGACCTCTTGGATGTCCCTCTTCGCAGGCACGCCTGCGGAACACAAACGGCGAGCTGTCTATCTGCATGCAAAGGTATCTGCCCTTGACAAGCAGCTTCTCCCTCTCTCAGGCTTTGCGCCGTTTGACACCTCCGCGCTGTCGCTATGGAAACCGCGCCATCTTGGCGGGCGCTGGGCAGGCATAGCCTACGGAACCTCCCCTTGCTACGCGCCAGGGACGTAATGGAGCGGCTGCGAGCGCGGGGGAGGCGAGTGTGTGCGCAGGCGCACTGCGCAAACGCCCCGGTGCCGCGGAGTCGGTGGGAGGCGCAGCGCGAGTAGCGGCCGCCGCGGGGAGTGCAGCGGCGAGGGGGTGGTGTCGGTTGCGGCGTGAGGGGCTTCACCGGGAAGATGGACGAGTTCCAGCCGGGGGAGGAGGTAACGGGGCTGGGGGCAGCGGGAGGGCAGCGTCGGGACTGCCCCGGCTTCTCCTTTCAGTGCTGGCGGAGGGTCTCGGGTGGTACCTGTCCGCCCGGACCACACCACTTGGGTGAACCCGGGGCCGCTGGGAACCCGCCCGCCTCTTCTACTCATCGCTCCGGTCCCCTGTTGCCCTCCGCCGGTGTGGCGCCGGGCGCTGGCGGCGTCTCTGAGCGGCGCATCCCGCGTAGCGGCTGACGACAGGCCCAGTCTTTGTTCCTCCTCCCGGGAGTACGGCCGGTAACCGATGGGCCAGCCCGTTGCCTGTGTTTCGGGAGTTGGCTGACTCCTCTTCCCTGGCCTCTCCCCACGCCTGCCTCTCCCCCGAAAGCGGCCGCTGCAGATCGCTTAGAGAAAACGCTCGGGGGGTGTCGTGGCCTCTGGTCCCCCCACAGCGGGGTGAGGCAGTATGCTGTGGTAAAAGGTTTACGGGTTACCTCAGTGAAAGACTCAAGCTAAATTTGTGAGGAAAGAAGAGTTCAGCCAGGTAGGTTCATTAATGAGACATTGTACCCCGTTAATGAGGATAGAGTCGGATAAATCAAGGGTCTGTATCACAGTAAGTGACTGCCCAGCAAGTGGTGCTCTTTGCAGAGGGACAGTTTTTTGTGAGCTGTGACAATTTGCTGCATTGTTCTTAAACAGCTGCGCTGTGACTTGGTTAGACAATAGCAAAGCAGAGTGAAGGTGGGTCAGACTTGTGCTGTTCTGAAAGCCTTTTTCTCATTGCTGGGTCTGGCTTATGTTACACAGTTACAGGTTTGGGGGGTTTT